TGAAAAGTCAACGGTTTTAAAAAATCGACAGTTTAAGTGTTTTTTTTAATTAAAACGATGTTTTTTATTATTTAAACAAAATAAAAATATAAATATAAGAGAAAGTCAATATTCTTTCTTTTAAAAATTGGTGATAATGATGTTAAATATAGTGAATAGAGATTATTGCATTATTATAGCATTGGTATGTTGTGGAATTTGAACATACTTTATTGTCTCCCCTATGTTATTGATATCATTGGTTTTTATTAGTTGTTCTGGCCTGGGCCCCGACCTGGCCGGGAAGGCCCAGCCCATATACACTTGGGGAAAGGCCCAAATGAGTCTTCCACATCTGTGTCGAGCACAAGACTCCCCGTCGACCAGACACTGCCCCGTCGGGCAGAACCTTCCTTACCTGTGTCGAGCACAAGACTCCCCGTCGACCAGACACTGCCCCGTCGGGCAGAACCTTCCTCACCTGTGTCGAGCACAAGACTCCCCGTCGACCAGACACTACCCCTTCGGGAAGAACCTTCCTCACCTGTGTCGAGCACAAGACTCCCCGTCGAACAGACACTGCCCCCGTTGGGCAGAACCTTCCCTCCGCGGGCAGAACCTCCTCCCTTGTCGAGCAGAACAATGTGTCCTGCAAACGTTCTCCACGGACTCCCCTCCGCGGGGACACGTCACCAACCAACTGCTCACCTCCAAAAGAGCAGGTCAAACCCACTTTCTGAAGATCACGGTACAGTTGAACTAGGGCGAAGACCACGTTCTGGACTTCACTACGCCACGTAAGCCCTAGCAGTCACTTGGGTTGGGCCTGACCACCCAGCCCAACTCAAATGAGCGTTGGCCCTGCGCTGGGGTCTCTCTATAAATACCCTCTTGTGCTCTTTCACAAGAGGGTCAGGTATTCTCTTCTTACCCTTTTCTGTATTTGCTGTCACTCTGTCCAAACAATTACTTTGGCATCGGAGTGCCTTGCAGGTATACCCCCCATCTCCTTTCCTCAACACAGGTGAGCAGGAAACAGATCAACGGCGTGTGGCAAGTCCTTGGTCCCCTTCTGATCAGGTTAGATCATTAGCTAAGTTGGGGTGTTGCTGCATAAAGGAAACGGTAATGCATGTTTGGTTGGCAAGAAACATAAGTTTATATTTGAGATTGATATTTTGATTAAATTCTTAAATCAATTAGTTGACTCAAATTTATAATTAAATCAAATTTGAATTTAAATTATAAACTTGTGAAATTATGATATTTTTAAATTTGTGAGATGTTAGTATTTTTTTTAGATACTGAGTCATTCGGTTCGACCGATTTAATACCTATATAATTTTGTTATAATGACATGTCTATTCAACTGAATTTTTTAATTTTATCCGGTTTAGTCATGTTGTTTGATCAATGATTCAATGGTTCGACCAATGAACCAGTGACTCAATACCCTCATCGTTGGATAACCGATCTGATTTCTAAAACATTGAATCAAACAATGTTATTAAATATCTAGTTTTTTTTAAAATAAAATAAAATAAAATTTTAAATCAATTTTCACTTAAAATATGGTATCCAATAAAAATTTATGATACAAAAAATACAAATAAATGCTATTGTGGTTAAACCCTGGACATAGGGCGTAACCCTTTAACTCAACTAACCATTACCAAAATTGAGCTACCCATCCACCCAAAACATGTATTATGCAATATAGTAAAATTATAAACTTAAAAAGGAACTATTAGAGTCCGTTTGGTTCAACGGAGGAGGGGAGGGAAGGGATTTTAATAAGGGGGAGGAGAGGGGAAAGGAGGTATTTTAATTAAACGCATGTTTGGTTCATAAGAGGGAGAGGGGAGAGAGAAGTTTTATTCAAATATATGTTTGATTCCCAGGGGGAGGGGAGGGGTTTTTTAACTAATTTATTTTTTTACCCTTAAAATATTATAACAATCGTGCTAAATAATTTTTTTTAAAAAAATATTCATAAAAAACGTAGATAATTAAACACAAAATATTTAACATTTAAAATACTCTAAAATATCTTAAAATAAAAATAAAATATTGATAAACGTCATAAAATCAAATTATATCAAATTATATGATCAATGATCATATGAACCATTTTCTCATCTTGATGATCCATTTAATCCTATAACATATTTATAAGATTAAATTCTACATAATATATAAATCATACTACAATTATATATTGATATGTAATATAATACAACAAATTATAAAATAATTAAGTTATTACAAGAAAAATATTAAATAAAAATAAATAGAATAAAACACATGAAAAAAAATTGAATAATAAGAATAAAAATAATGGAATTGTCATTAAACAAATGAAGGAATTATAATAAGGTGACAAAAATTAAGATATAATATTAATAAATACAATTAAAAAATTCATTAAATAAAAGTGAGGATAATTTTGTCAATATAATAAAAATATATGTTATCATAACTCCTCTTCCTCCCTTTTCCTCCGAAAACCCCCAATTCGAGGAACGAAAAAATTGTTCTAGTAGGGATTCTGATTACCTTCAATCCTCTCTACTTTTCTTATAAAAAAATTGAATCAAACACATCTATTTTAAAATATCCCCTCCCCCAACCAAACAGTCCCTTAAGGGAACCAATGATGCAGCGAGTAAGAAATTTTTGCGGTGGAGAGAAATCAAGGTGTAAGTATTTTGAGATATAAACTATCTGATCACAATTTAATAATCAAAATCATTCAGCTACAAACAGGAATAGCAACGTTGTTCCAAATCCCCTATTGAGTTAACAATTGCTATGTATTGAAGGTGAAAAAAGAAGCTCTCGTTTGCTTTTTGCTATTCGTCTAAACAAAAGCCCATTCTCTTACTTATTTTTTATTTCTATTTGCCAAATCTAAGACTCTATGTCATCCCTATGCTTAGTCTATTTGTTAAACACATACGTTGGGAAGCTCTATCCCGCACATAATACTAGTTTAGTTACTAGTATTATGATTTTTCTTTCGGTTTAATCGTAAAAAAACATTAAGAAGAATCATTTATAATTTTAAAAATTGTCTACAAGTAGAGACTTGGACCTTCTGTTATCCTGTTAATGTTAAACAGCCAAAGCAGGATTTAAACATGCTCTACGCCAAACTTATCAAAGCAAATCTCTTCATGCAGATAACAATCGGAAGCAGGAAACAGATGAAACCAACCAAGAGAACTAAGAATGCCGATATATATTCTTAATGGTCCCAATATATGCTTGATTTATTACTAGTTTCACGCATATAGTGCTCTCATAACACCACTCTCAGCAAGTAAGATCTGCATCCCAGACATTTCAATAAATGATCGTAGTGGCTTTGCCATTTTGTAGTCAGAAATTTTTAGAAGTCTGGGTGCTGAAAAGCTATCACATTCCATGCGATTGCTCTTTAAGTTGAAGATGGAAAATATATGTTGGAGATCAAGATCATGAAACTAAATCATCTAAATTCTTAGTGGCATTGTAAAAATTTGAACCTCTCTCGGGGAGTTGCTGCGATCCTTTCCCAAACCCATCTCATGTCTGGGAGTCACTATTCGAATAAATAGTTATACATGAGACATAAATAGCAGCAGACACAAAGGAACATTATGATGAGATATAAATGGATGCAAATAAGATTTTTTATACTAAATGCAAAGTTTATCAACTCCTTTGTTTATTTGGTAGTACAAAAGAAGAAAATCATTTAACCAAGGAGGAAAATTGAAAAAAAGATGGGAAAACAAGGAATCCTGCTAATAAAAGGAAGAAAATAATCATGACAGAAAAAATATAAAACAATCAAGGAAAAAAAAAACATGACAGAAAAAGTATAAAACAATCGAGGAAAAAAATTCACTGTAATGAAGTTGCACAATTCTTTAGAATATCAGTTAGTAAAACACCGGATAAAAAGGACGTCTGCTTAACACCAAATAGACTCCAAAAGCTCAATATTATTCCAAACCATGTGAGAGAAGCACAAGATACATAATTTAGCATCTTTGATTCTATCAAAGATTCAAAACAGGCCACAACACTGATAAGGGTTTCTTTAAATAATCAATTTACTGGAAAAATTTAGAAAGAACTGTTAAAAATCCTGCAGAATTCTCTAAGAAAGATAATCTGACACTGAAAGAAGCAAATAGTAAAACTGCACCTCTAAAGAATTATAGGCATGCCAAATCAAGGTAAAATTGTGTATATTGACACTAATATGTAATCACGGCTACATGGTTTATAAAAGATACAGGAAAAGTAAAAACAGAAAAACGTAAGAGCAATGATATATGTCACGACAAAAATCAGTCACCTATGTCACGACAAAAATCAGTCACCAATGTCACGACAAAAATCAGTCACCAACATCGCAACAATACACGTTACTTTTTAAAAATCTAGACTAAACTGCTCAATAAGACTTTGGCGGAAAACACATGTGAATGGCCAATAACATTGCTTCGTGACTAGTCGTGATTAATGGTTTCGTGATATTAAACAATTTCCTAAACAAAAACGTGTCAATTTTGAGGTCAAAACTCGAAAGTCGGACAATAAATCATCAAGATTGAAAACGAAAAAGTATAAACTTAACGTATAGTAGCATGAAATTTCAATAAGAATTCCGACCAATCACTTGAAATTCTTAGAAACTTCTATAAAAATATTATTCATAATAATCTACCAAAAAAAAGATTCAGTTATGCATTATAAGAAGGATCGACTATAGACAATATGGAAACGAAATCAAAGTGATTGAGGTGCAATACAAATTTACATCTTACAAAGCAACCAGGAATAGTAACACTTCTTCATTTATAAGATTTTCTGAGAATTTCGGGCTACAATTATTGTGTCACGAAAACAAGATGATACAGAACAACAAAAATGGGCATACTCATGAAAGTAAGCCAAAAACAAAAAACAAGTCAGATGTGTAGAATATCTATAGATATTGTACCTCATTATTCTCTCTGTTTTTTCAATCACTCTTTAGGAAGTTCACTGCAAATTTTTCCATCATCCAAAATCTGAACAATTGCAGTCTTGAGCCTATGGTAATCTTCAACAGTGTTATACACCTGATGAGAAATCCTCACATAACCAGTTATAAACCCGTCCTTGTCTCTAGGATCCCTTTCAGCATTTCTCAAAGCTTGGTAATATACAGGAACTTCTATAGCATGATAAACCCTAAGATAAAACCTCAACCTCAATGCATCATCCTCACTCGTCACACGAAGCTTTGAAGGCAAACCCACCATAATCATAGCGGCACACATTTCAGGTGGGGAACCAAGAATTGTTCCCCATGATTCCTTTAGCATAATCCCCATTTTCACAACCAAATCATGGTTCCTCCTCATAATCCCTTCAATTCCACCTTCAAACCTATTCACAAACTCCAAAATCGAAGGTACCACAAGCTGAGGGCTATAATCTCGCATCCCAACCCAAGCACTCTCAGCAGGTAAACCCTTTCCATATTCATGCGCAACCACAGGATGGTGCACATCTTTCAATTTCTTGTTACAATACATAAAAGCAACCGAAGGTGGAGAAAAGAACCATTTGTACAAATTACTTACGTAAAAATCAGCACCAATTTCTTTAACATCAACACACAAGCTTCCAATGGCGTGAGCACCGTCAACAAAAATCTGATCCACTTCTTCCTCTCTGCAAACCCTTATCAATTCTTGAACAGGGATAACAACGGAAGGTATCGACGTAATGTGATCAATTATCGCTAACCTAACTCTTCCGCCATTAATTTTACTTCGCTCAAGTCCTTTCTTGAACTCCGCGATAATTTCTTGGTCGGAGTGAACCGGAAACGGTAGCTGGACCTCAATAACGGAGCCGCCAACCGGCGTAACATAAGCCTCAATAGATTTCTTAACAGCTCGGTAAGCGCAATGGAACATTATAACAGAATCGTTCTTGCGGAATTCACCAGAGGCGAAGCGGTGGCCGATTTGCTGGAGAACGATTGCGGCGGCGGTTGTAGCATTATCAATGAGCGAGATATCTTCAACGTCGTCAGCGTTTATGAGGTTTTTGACGATAATACGAGAATCGAGAATTCCTTTTCGGAGCGTGTTTGAGTAGAAGTCGTCTGGTTGTCGGAGGAAGCGGAGCTGCCAGGAGTTTTGAGCGGCGAGGACGGAGCGGGGACAGCTTCCGAAACTGCCGTTGTTGATTCTGGCGACGGCGGTTTCGTGGTGGAAGAATTCGTGGCGGATCTCGTGTTCTGTTATGGGGTGAGTGAGCTTTGGTTTCTTTCCGTCACGGTGGTTTTGTTCGGTGCCGTTACGAGGGTCGTCGTTATCGTTATCCATAGCTGGAAGTTGGAACTGAGTGTTTAGGGTTTTAGGTTTTGGAAATGAGTGTTCGTTCATTGGTGAGTGGATAGAGTGTGTCAGTGAATGAGTGGCGATGGCAGTTTAGCAGGTGAATTGCTGTTTCTTTTTTATATTTGACATGTAATCGTAATATTCCATTTTCTTTTTTATTTTATTCCACTTTTGTTAACTGTGAAAGACTCCGTGGACTTTATCTTTAGGTTTTGTTTATAAATAAAGATGAAAATGATAAGTTGATAGTTTTTAAGGGTTATGAAGCAAAGTTAATAGAAAACAAATTAACTTCTTAAAAATAAAGTTTTTGTATATAATATGTGTCAATATGTATTTGTGATGGTTAATTCATATTGCTTTAAGAATATATATGAGTTTATATTATAAACTCGTGTCGATATATCAATTTTAGTTAGATAGACTTGTGTGGATATATCAATTTTAGTTAGATAGACTCCTTTAAAAATATATTTGAGGGATATATCATATATTGAGGCAGGTATATCAATTTTGTTTTAGATATATTATTTTAATATTGATTTGGATGGTTAGCATGTATATCAATATCACCTCTCATTATAATTGAAACATATATAAAATACACAATGATCAATAATTTTTTTCCCTCAATCACTCTCTAATTTTTTCTCAATTTATCATCATTTGTCAAGTATCATGTGATACAAATTCTCCAACAAATTAGTATCAAGAGCATTAGTTTGGTCCTCAATCTCCAATCATGGAGAATAGAAGCACTACCTCTAACCAATTTTCTGACAATCTACTCGTTTTCAAGGGAGAAAACTACGATAAATGGTTTGTACAGATGAAAGTCATATTCATATTTCAAGATGCGCTTGAAATCGTTAATGATGGTTTCTTGGCATTAGAGGCAAATGCTATTGAGGCACAAAAATCTGCTCATCGTGAATTGAGAAAGAAATATGAGAAAGATTTGTTCTAGATCCATCAGTGTGTGGATTCAAATATCTCTGAGAAGATTATCAAGCAAGAAACAGACAAGGAGGCTTAGGATACTCTAAAAAATCCATACAGAGGAGATAAAAAGTTAAAGAAAGTGAAGTTGCAATCTTTAAGGAATCAATATAAAATCTTGCACGTGAAAGATGATGAAACCATTGTTGAGTTCTTCTCAAAGATGATGGCTTTGACAAATCAGATGAAGTCATGTGGTGAAAAAACCTTTGAATTGTAGAAGGTGGATAAGGTGTTGAGGGCTCTACCAATCAAGTTTGATCATATTATAGTGGCAATTGAAGAATCGAATGACTTTTCAGAGATGAAGCTTGAAGAATTACAAGCGCTTCTTGATGCGTATGAGATGAGGCTGAAGCAAAGAGATTTAGAAAAGGTATATGAACAAACATTGCAAGCAAAGTTCTTCGAGAAGATGAAAAAAATTCCTCAAGTGATTACAAAGGGAAAGAAAAATGGAAGAAGAAGTAGAATGGTAATATTGATTATGGTATAGCTTCAAGAAGCCAAGGTGAAACTAGCAAGAATGAAGCAAATCAAAATCAAAAAATGAATAAGAAGGTCGACATGAAGGAGGTTCAATGTTATTGTTGTAAGAAGCTTGGTTATTATGCTAGAGACTACTATTACAACAAGAACAATGATGAGGACAAGGGTGTGGCTCAATTTGCTTATGATGGTAGCAGCGAATCTAAAGATGGTATCTTGATGGCTGCAACACATTTGGCTTCAGAGAAAGAAAATGTGTGCTACCTTGATACAGGTTATAGCAATCATATGATAGGCAACAAAAATTGGTTTGTCAAGGTGGATGAATTAGTTAGAATATCAATTCCTTTTTACTAGATAACACAATGGTGGCATCAAAAGGAATGGGCAAAATTAGGGTGAAAAAGAATTATGGACATGAACTTATCATTAGTGATGTCTTGTATGTTCCCTCAACGGCAAGTAACTTGATCAGTTTGAGTTAATTACTTAACAAGAAATACACAATGAAGCTGGAAGGAAGGGAACTCAAGGTGTTTGATCAAATGTATAGGCTAATTTTGAAGGCACCTTTGTCAACCAATAGTACATTCAAGGTCATGATCAATATGCTTGATCATCAATGTCTTGCATCAACCACAATTGAAGATAAAAATTAGGTTTGGCATCAAAGATTTGGCCATCTCAATTTTAGGAGTCTTAGCCTAATACATATGAAGATGGTATATAGACTTCCAAACATTGAAGTGCCAAAGCAGTTGTGTGAGGAACTGATCGCGACTTTCTATGTCTAATACAACCTAACTGCAAGTGTACAGTCTATCGCATAGTAATAATAGATATCGATCCCACAGGGACTCGTAATCAAACTAGTGTTCTCGGGAGTTACTATGTTTAGCTAGGTAGAATATGTTTAAGGGAATAAGATTGTCACTAAAAGGGAACTAAGAATACTATTTAGATTATAAATGATTGAATCGATACGTAGTAATTGTGTTCTTCAGGGATTTGATAAGTTACTGGTGTATGAAATAATTTTCAAAGTTTATTTAAGCAGAAAATGGAGATTTGAAGACTCTCGCCTCACGATGGTTATTGACGCTAATCATAATCCTAAGGGCCAAACGTACACTTTCGTATCCCGTTCGGGGTTAAAATTATTTTTTGGAAATCTCTAAGTTCTAATTCATTTTAAAGTGCTTTCGCTGTTATTAAAATAAATGACTGGTGTTTACTATCTGACCTTACCGCAGCTTTCGCTTGTTGGTTCGTATCTTAATTAATTTCCCACTTTCGTGGCAAAACTACTTTTAAATAAGTTCTCACTTTCGCGACGAAGTTTATTTAGTGAATCAATTTTAAACACTCAGACCATAAATTACTTTTTTGAAAAGAAAGTTTTTCAACCAGTTGTTATCAAATCCCATTCGAATTATTACTACATATCGATTACCTAAGTTTATCTAGACATGGATTTGGGAAAGATAAAACATAAATAAAATTAATAAATAATGATTTGCATTATAATAAAACTGGAATCGATTGAAATGAGAAACCTGTAAATATTCCAATTGGCCTTTGGGCAGATCCTCCACAGATGTTGGCAGGATTCTGGTCTTTATGTCAAATTGATCGTACAATAAAATAAAAGTTATAGAAGAATGGAAAATGGAGTACAAGAAAGGTAAAGAGAAACAAATAAGAATATTGCTGGAAAATAAGCTCTGGAAATAAATTCGGCAGCACTTCATGGTATGAATGCCGCACTTTTCTGAAGTCCCCTGCTTCCCTTTTTATAGAAGTGGAATCCCAACGGTTATCATTGAAGATGATGGACTTTAAGGCAGATAATTTAGGGAGTAGTGGTCCACTCTGTGGGAATTGGAACTGATTCTTTGACGTGTAATTGGAGTGGGGCGTTTTTGCCTGCATGACGGTCGTCACAAGGTGTGACGGTCGTCACCCGTGTGACGGTTGTCATGAAGTTGTGACGGTCGTCACATCAGCAAAAATAGCTTCCTGCGCTTTTCATTGTGTTTTCACTCCTTTTTCGTCCATATTTCATCTGAGATTGCTTCTTTTCTTCATGTTGCCTTGTTTAGACGTGATCGTTGAATACCTGCAAAACAACAGACAAATACACGGAAATAACCCGAAATCGGATCGAAAACGGTTAGACTTTAGATGAATTATGCATCAAAATATATATACGATTTCGTGTTATCAAACTCCCCTAAGCTTGAATCTTTGCTTTTCCTCAAGTAAAACGTAAAAAGGTCGGCAAGCGCGAGGCAGCTTCTTCGTTCGCAAAAGTCGGGAAAAACCAGAATTCTTGGTAGGAACAAAACGAGTACCATGACGACACTTGGACTACAAGTCTTCGGAGGTCTCCTTTTTATGCAAACTGGTCCCAGTCATGCTACTGTAGCTTGGCGTCAAGGTTCTCGCGGCAAGTTCACCCTGTTTGTTCTAGCGCAATCACATTAAGCCCGTTGTCCATACACTTTCGTGGCAAGTCGACCTGTTAGTGAATATGATCTCATTTCTTGTTTTTGATCTTCTTCATTGATCATAAGCTTATGTCATTGATTTTTCAATGAGTTTTCGTGTCGTTGGGCTAAATGCTCGGGTGAGGAGCACCTAACTTAGAAGGAAACATATCTTATATTCTTGGGCTTTTTAGCTCTCTTTTCATGATTTTTCATCTTTTTGGAGATCATACACTTATTTGCATCGGTCGCTCGCTTAGAAGTGTTTTTAGGATGGTGCTGACTGCTAGTATAAACTACTTGGGGCTGAGTTTGCGTAGACACTTGAGGCTTTGGTACGCGTAGGTAGTGAAACCGACTCGCATAAACCGGAGATCTAAGGTGTCAGGATGGTACTGGTTTTGTTAGAACTGTCGTTTCCTCGGAGTTTCAAAACTTGGTTTGAACTCGGTTGCATTCTCGTGATGCTTTTGCTTTTGAGGAACGAACGAAATTTTTTTTTTTACGTTGAATAATGTGGGGATGTTTGCGTAACGGGAAAAAGATATATAAACGAGCTTTATTTGCTAAAAATAGAAAATGTTTAAATAGAAATTACGAAAGTTCAAAGTGCAGTGGAATGGAAATAAAGGCTCCGCTCCCACACTATCTCAATCAGTGTTCCCACTGATTTTTGAAGCGTGCGAGAGGGAGATACAACTGAAATGAAAGTACAAATAACTGAAATATAGTAAACAATGAAGGAAAAATGGAAAATCTAGTCACGGCCTCTGTCACGTCCGCGCTGGCGTCCTCTGGATCTGGCAAGGGCTACTCTGTCCTCATAACTCATAGCTCCGGTGTGGTAGACGGTGACTCGGAGTCCTTCGACCTGCAAAGTCAGATTCGCCAGGTTCTCAGTGATAGTGGCTTGGCCGGTTTGAAGTTGTTGCATTTGAGTCTGGTGCCAAGCTTCGAACTGGTCAGCTCGCTGATTCTGCTGCTGCAGCATCGCGAGTATCTGTGCCTGCTGGTCTAGGGAGCGGCGGGGGTCCTCTTCTGTGTAGTCTGGCACGGGATGATGGCGGC